AAACCTGGAAATTGCAGCAGATGCGTCAGACTATGCGGTGGGTGCGGTTTTTATGCAACATAACCATCCTCTGGCATTTTTTAGTAAAACGTTGAATCAGACACAAGGAATTATACAGCTACAGAAAGAGAAACATTAGCCGTATTAATGGCTGTACACAAATTTCGAGTTTATTTCGGCAAAGCGCCAGTAACAGTCTTTTCGGATCATGCGGCTGTTGGTAGACTTTACTCGGGGAAAAAACCTAACGCCCAGGTTAATAAGATGGGCTTTAAAACTCCAAGAATATAATATCACAATAAAATATAAACCGGGTAAGGAAAACATGTAGCTGACGCACTTTCTCGTATAAAACTGGACGATGAAGGAAATGAACTTAAATGCGCTGTGTTGACTTCAAAAATTTTAGATTCTAGAGATACGGTTATTACTGAACTGAAAGCTGATCCTGAATTTGGAAATATCTATGCTTATTTGAAAGACCCCGAAAGCTTTGAGCACACAGATATCGATGCGATAAGAAATAGAGCAAAAAACTATGAAATAATAGATAATTTATTATTTTATACGAAAACAACAAACGAAAATCTTGAGTATAAACCAGTCATCCCAGCCTCGCTTCGATTAAGCATTTTGAAGGAGTTCCACGAAGCAAAAACAGCGGGCCATCTAGGGGTCAGAAAGACTTTAAAAAGGGTACGCGACGCAGTATATTTCCCGCAATTATACAAAATAGTAACGCCGTATGTCAGGTCCTGCAATCAATGTCAGTTAATAAATGATATTAATTACAGCCCGGCCGGGTACTTAAATAGCATTCGCGCTACATTTCCGAATGAAATTTTAGGCATAGATCTTCTTGGTCCCTTCCCCCAGAGCGAGTTAAATAAAAATCGTTTTCTTTTAGTAATAGTAGATCATTTTTCAAAATGGACAGAAATTGTTCCACTTAAACGCGCGTCAGCCAAAACAGTCGCAGATGCATTCTTACACAGATACATTTTAAAATACGGTGCACCGATAAAAGTCATTAGCGATAACGGAAAACAATTCATTAGTCAAATATTTGAAAACATATGCAATGGACTTGGCATACGCCATATCAAAATGGTTCCGTATAGACCACAGGCTAACATAGCAGAAAGAGTTAATAAAAACATAGTAAAAATAATTCGCAGTTTACGTGAGCACACATCACAAGCGCTGGGATGGCTACATAAATGAATTAGCTTATGCTTTAAGAACGGCAAATCATGATACTACGGGAAAAACTCCAGCAGAATTATTTTTAGGCAGAAAGTTAATTACGCCTTTAGATAAATTATTCTTTGTGCAACAAAGAGAGCAGGAGTTTAAACAAAAAGATGTGCAAAAGCTTATTGATCAGGCGCTTAAAACCTCGGATACGGCAAGAAATAGGCAGAAAAATATATTATGATAGAAACGCCGTGAAGCAGATTTTAAAGTTGGGGATAAAGTATTGAAGCGGAAATTTTCTTTATCAAGTGCCCCAGACAATTTTACGGCAAAGCTAGCTCCAAAAGTTTGAAGGCCCCTATGTAATTCAGGAAATCAAAGGAGTAGTATTATATCTTAAGAACGAGAGAGGGGAAATCTGTAAAGCAAGTCCCGACCAGGTGAAAAAATACTATAATCCAAATGATTTTGAAATCCTTAAAAGTTTTCTTGCAGGACTCAAATCTAAACGAAAATAGAAGGTCCAGAAGATAACAACTATTTCCACCACCCAAGAAACAGAGAACTGAAGAGAGACCTAGCCCTTCTACAACCCGGACGCCGGTATCAAAAGAAAAAATAATTTTCAAACTCCGGCGTTTAAGAAAACAAAAATACAGATGAACCGGAAAGTAAAGAAACCGAAAGAAACCGTGGTAAAGAGGGAAAACACCACCTACAAAGGATTGCAGGAAAATTATACATCAAGGAGAACGCGCACTCGGCCACAGAGTCAGGTGCCAGCAAGGCCGCCGTTCCGGAAACTGAAACGGCAACAGGAGGCACAAAAATACGAACAGAAGAAATTCAAGAAGGACTCCAGACCGGAGGACGTCAAGACCAGCCGTCCCAGGGAAAAACGGAAATGCCAACAACCAGACGATTACTCCGCCAAGAGGCCAGCATGTAGAGGAGGACGCAAAAGAAAAAGTAATGTGGACGACACTCGGAGATCAATAAGGAGAAGATTGACATCCATGAAACCTCTAACTTGGGAACAATTTGCCAAAAACGAATGACGGAGTTTCAAGCATCGAAAACTCAAAGATAAGTTAAAACCTTCTATAATTTTTTTTTTTTTTTTTTCTCTTTTGTTCCGAAATGTTATGCGTAAGTACGAAGTTCTATGTTTTGACGAAAGTCAATATGTCTCGGTTGAGACTTAGTTTTGTTTTACTTTATTTAGCTAAGGCAAAAGTATTATTTTCTTTAAGTGTAAAAGCTAAAAACAAGCATTTTCTGTTGGTCGAAAGACTAATTCTGTTATGTTAAAGTCAAAATTTGGCCGAAGATAAAAATAACTTCGTATTCTTGTATTAATAAGAATTTTAGTTTCAGTGCCGCCAGCTTGGCGAAGATTAAGTAAAGTAAAAATTTATTTTCTCTTATTCATTTTATGGTAAATTGTAAAAATCATATGTATTAAAATTTTGTAAATGTACGTAAATACTTGAATGTTATGTAAAAGTAGAATTTAGTCTAGAAGCATAAAATTTTAGATGCTAAAAGTAAATTCTCAAAAGCAATGAATTCAAATTTAAGTATTAAACTGTAGATAAAATCATGCTTTAGAGCGAAAGCCTGCATGTTTAAAGATGAATGAGGGGGAAGTTAGAATGAATGTGTTTTGTAGGGTTCTCCACCTACATTTGAAATTTTAAGAATATTAAAGTAGCTCATTGAGTTGTAGAATGTCGAGTAAGGTGTGTCTATTTGGTCGTTGAATTCTAACAAATCATGGTGGTTAGGGGAAGTGTTGTAAGACTAAAACACGAATACTCCCGTTTGACACCACACACGGTGGAGAGCCAGGGTAAAGTTAAATTAATGCTTGAAAATTGAATGAATGTGAAGTTAAGCATAACTAAGGAAAATCGAATCGTTTAAAAACAAAAATTTATTGTGTCAAGAAGTGTAAATTATAATGTATGTTAGAAAGATACTGATACTTATTCCTTCCAGATGCTGGAAGGAAAGACCAAGATTGATTGATGAAGTCCAGGAAAAGTTGCTGTAAGAAGAGAGCTTTATAACGAGCAACAGAATTTTAGTATACAATTTGTTACATAAGATTTTTTTTTTTTTTTTTTTTTTTTTTTTTTTTGTGTGTAAACGAGGTTCTCGCCAGTTAGTTAAGAATTAGAGAAACTTACAACAGGTCGTTTGTAGGACCTGCTTACAAGTTTTCCAAATTCTGGCAGCGGCAAATGTAGGGTTTATATTTATTTTAACTAACATTTATTTTAAGTTTAAACTATCTTTCCTGTCAAGCCTTACTTTCCCCTGGAACTGCCAATGCCAGAATATGTAAATTTGAGTAGAACGCGCAAGGATTCAAATTATCAGCGGAAGTGTTATGATTTAAATAGGAAGGAAACGAGTTCGGGGTGTGATATTCTTACTTCACGAGCGCGGAGGTAGTTAGCGAGAAATTGAAGAACCCCGCGTTTCGGCCTATGCTTGGCGGGAGTAGTGTTAATCGTTGAAGTGAGCCTTCAAGTCTGCTGAATTAGCTGCGGTATTTGTAAAACGCGGTGAAGTTAGTTATTTTAGAGAGCCTCGTAGTTAGAGTCTTGTCTTTAGTTTCTTTTCAGGTTATTATTTTTATTTGACCGCCGAGTTGGTGCAGTCTGTGAGCGTCAAGAGCACGCAATTGTAATTTATTACGTTGAATAAAAAGGGACTTAAACCCTTTACAAGACTCTGTGTTTTATCCAGTTTTCACAGTCACCCCTTGGTTGCGTGCAAGTTGGAGGCGCGCAACGTTACAAAATATTGTGCAACAAATTACAATTACTGCAAAATTAGCATTATAGAATCTCCCTGATTTCATATAAATGAGATTACCGAATGGGTACGAATGCAAAACACTGATAAAGATCCCTGACGTCTAACTTTGAAAAGCAGAATAGGCTTGCTTCTTGGCTATTTTCGCCATTAGTACATTAAAGAAAATCTAGTTTTTCCCCTTCAAAAGGGCAATTCTCTATAAAGGTATGGATTTTTTATGGCAAAGGCCCAATTAGAGATTCTCTATGATAAATTACCTTCCTGTAACTGAAATTTTAATGAGTACATTGTGGGATAGTTACATTTTCTTGTTTAACCAATTACCCATGAGTTTTTAAGTACTTTCAAGGTAATGTTTACATAACTGTAGTATTTCTAATTTTAAAGTGCTCGTAAAAACTGTTGTCAAAAGTTATATACTTTTACTTAGTACTTAGTACTTGGCCAAGATGTCAAAAATATAAAGACCAGCGTAAGAATGATGAAGATACGTAACGGCAACTATAGATTACAGTAATATTATGCCTGGTAGTAGAACATTACTTTCATTTTTAGCTGAGTATTGGCTGAATCCATATTTACTTATTAACTAAGATACAGAATTCCTAATCTCAAGCCTTAAATATTTACTATGTATTCTCAAAAAGAAACTAAAAAGTACTTTCTCACTTTTCTCATATTTTCCTGTGAATTACCTGATGCACAGCTAACAATGCTAACAATTCTTGACAGAAGGACAAACATATGAAGTTAATTTTAGTTAATATGCATTCTAACCAATGTGTGTATTTTAGTTGATATGTTTAATCTTTGCTGCACCTTCCATCCTTGCATTCCTACAGTGGCGCCCGAACTAAAAGGTGGTGGACCATAATTCATTCTTCCCCACCAGGATTTAGCGACTGGGCCCCCTAATGCACAGTCAGCTTTTAAAAGGGAGACTATCTATGGTATTTTCTCCCTCCTATCACCAAGCTTTCGTGGTGTAACGGTAGCACACTCGACACGCATTCGAGAGGTCCAGGTTCGAGTCCCGGTGAGGGCATCGCTCATTTTTAACGTTCCTGCTTCACAAAATCCAGACGACTCTACAACCCAATAAATGAAAAGATAATTCAAAATAGCTAGCAATTTTTTTAAAAATCATCTTGAAGTGACATATATTATATTTTTAGTATTTTGACTTACATCAAGTTAAAAAATGAGCAACAGGTACAAATAAAAGAAGTCACAAAATTTAGAAATATTGTCTTGTCGTTAGAAAACTGTCAGTTGTATATTTATTGGTCACACACGAAGACCGATTGAAATTGCAGAAACCTTTGCGAAAAGAGTATACATATAATAAATGCTTCAAGCTACGGCTGTTCTATATACCTAATGCATTCCACCCAAATGCTTACACGTTTTCGTTGAATGCTTGTTGGTTTTATTGCTTCTGAATCAGAGGGTGCTTTGCATTGCGTTTAGGAACAATTCTCGGCCAATTACGAAGCAATTATTTGATAAATTACCTACTAGAGTTGTCTAAGCTGATTCAACAACGATCTGATGTTAATTGCACTACTAGAGGAAATCTAAACTGCAACGGCATTATTTAGTAATCTTTGATGTGCTATGAGGTACTTGTTTGAATCTCTCTCAGATTTTAGGTAATTGCTTAGAGTTCATAAACAAATCAACTAATCATTGACGATATTTCATAATTCGCCTTAAAAATAGAATTTGCCTTTCACTATTTTGCATTTCTTATTTTTCATTTTCTTTACTTTTAAATGTTTCAGCCAGTAGCTGTGTTGCAAATGCTGTAATAATAATCTTCTTGAAGCAATAAAAATTCGAGTATGTAGTTAAATAAAACATCTGTATATAAAAAATGCTGAAACTATATAAACTAAGCATCATCTTTATATATTTTGCATCCAAGTGGTAAAAGGATTTTGAGTTAGGTTCAATTATATTCATCTTAAAACTTAATTTACATTGCAATAAGAATGTAGGTTAACGATTATTAAGTTATTGAAATGTGAATAAAAATCGATTACCTTATTCTTTGTAATATATATATATTACATATATATATATTGCAATATATATATTGCAACCTAGTGTTGCGGCAAAATTCAGTAAATCTTTGAGATCATACCCTACTACTGTGGTAACTTAGATAATCAAACAGTATACCGAAAAAGAGTAATTAATTCAAATATGTTTCTCTTGCGATTTTATTGCTGATGTTTCGAAGTAAGAAACGAACTTATTATTAACATTATATAAAATATGTTGTATATTTGTTTAATGAATTGCCAAAAACCGCTCATGTGTTACCCACCATAGGGAAGCCTTTAAGAAAAATTTCCATTGAAAATTTGTTCGAAGAGAGAACAGAGTGCGTTTATTTATAATATTTATACGAATAAACTGTGTATTACTGATTTGCGAACAATATATACTAAAATAATCAACAATATATAATTCAAATATTCGGTGTATCAAAATATCAAATATTGCGTGTGTATTACTTTGTTAAGGTCTCTTTGTTAAGACATTAGGTAATTTTTGGAAGCAAGAGAAGTGAAAAATGAATAATGCTCTCGCCGGGAATCGAAACAGGGACCTCTGGATTACGCGCCCAGCTTACAGACCACTACACTACGAAGGCATGCCAAGAAGGAGAGAGAAATACCTTATAGATCTACAACACTAGAAGAGTTAAGAAAGTTATACAGTAGTTCGGTAAAAGTTCTCACTATTGCTTATTTTAATAACTGAACTCTGAGTTAAAGGTAATATTAAGAGGAGGAAAATTAAGAAAAACGAATTGTAAGTAAAACAGTCTTCTTCTTGTTCTTACGAATCCCTCTGATCTGAATCAGATCAGATCCATAAGTTCATTCACCTTCATAACTTCCAATACGAAATTAGGTGGCTTCAGCAGATCTTCACACTCGAAAGCTATATAGCTAAGTAGATGTTGAGCAGTGTTCATGGTTTTTACATTTGGCGCAAGTTTGAAATGTTTAGTACCACAGAAATATCTGAGGGTCCTTAAAAGAAGTTCCGAAGTCAACCGAGCCAGAGACGTTTGGTCCTTCTTGTCACCCCTGAAACCAGTGACAGTACCAGGATCTACATTATGATACTATGAGTGGATCGGTAGTTGTTTCCAAGAATTGTCAATTAATTCCTTTCTTCTCAATTATAGTTCAAGGTAGGTCAAAGGTTTCTCATAAACCTGAAGCATGAAAGTTCTCTCCTTTGCTAGTATATCAGTTGTATCATTATATTTTAGTTATACATGATATGATATCTACTGCAGAAAGTAAAACTTTGTAAGTAAAACCTCGAATTTCGAACGTAAGTTGCTACACCATTTCCGGCTGCTAACATAAAATTATATGTAGAGCTGTGGGCTCTAAGCTCAAACACAGGAAACGAACATTTAAGAAGTCAGTAATGGCAGAAAACGAAAATTTTAGCTCGATTTATTAATGGGAAAGAGGACGAAAAACAACTGAAACATCGAATTCTTTAAAGGCCATAGAGAAAACGATTTGGAGTTTCCATCCCTAATTAATACAAAAATATTTTTATTGAAATAGTATGCTGGAAATCTTATTCGTCAAATAAAAATACTTTTTGAACAACTCTTGCAAAACTGAATTGAAGAGTAAGTCTCTAAGTAAAAATGTTGCGCAATGTAAAATTTATCAGTTTCCATTACTTTTTTTGTGTTTTGCATCCTTGCTTCAGAAACTTCCGAAAAACTCCTCATCTGTGCTACAGTTTAGGCAAATGCTTCTAAGTTTAATTTCCTATCAACAATGCGAAGAAGGGAGTGTAACTAAACAACTAAACTTCGAAATGCGTTATTCTTGTTACACACATTATGCAAATTCTTCTTATTCATTTTAAACTCCTTCGCCTTATATTTATATGGTGGTTCCTTTTTGCTTTTGCAAACGGAGGTTTCTTATGAATCTGCCCATAAACACATAAACATCGCATTTTTCTACAGAAATGAATTATGTGCTTTAGATGCCTAAATTTCCAAGATGATCTGAACTTCCTGTCTGTATGAACAAAACAAATATGTAAATTTACAGTAGAAACACGTAACACATTTCCCTCTTGTGTTGTCTACAAAACGGAAAGAAGTGGACTGGATACCAGAAATTTCATCATTGGCTGTGCATCATTGATGATTTCACCGCGCTAACTATACAACTCCACCCCAATTTTGACGAAAAGCATCCCGTGGCCGAATCCGATGCTCTCCAACCCATTTTCCCAACAACTAAATCCAAAGCACTTGAGAGCACTTTCTGCTCACCAGTATTTTAAGTATCCGCATGCCATGCAGACACTATACATTAACAAACGTCCGTATCCTCTAGCCTAAGCCCATCTGTACGGCAGCCAGTTTCACTAATCAATTTACCGATAAGGGTTAGTCGTACTGTCTATATAAAATTTTAAAAATACGTTAAAAGAATATTTTTTCTTAAACTCTGACAAGTTTTGGTTCTGGTAATAGAGGAGTAACCTGGAACGATGCGCTCTGGGAAGCTAGCTCTAACGCTAAACTATTTAAAAAATTTTGAATCTTTTTGACCCGTACGGTTTCTTGAGCTATATGGTACGGCTCAAATTTGCAGTCAATATTTATACGAAGATATAGAAATTAAGTTTCTAACCGTTATTTCAGTTTTAAACATGCTTTACTTTCTATTCTCTTTTCCCACCTACTATTCCCTGCCAGAATGAGGTTTTAGGAACGCGTTTTATATGCAAATGAGTTAGAAGGAGTATTTAAGGAAGGTTCAGCTTACGTCAAGAAGAGAGAGAGCTTAACAGTTCTTAGAGGCGCGTATTTGCCATCAGGCTACTTCGTTTTTAAACCTAATACGCTCGGCCGTATAGTACGTGCCTGTTATTAATCGCCGGCTAATTTAATTAAGGGCCAACTACGTTACGTATTTGTGTATAGCTTCGGCTCAGTCAGTTTAGTTTAGTTTCTGATTTTGATTAGAAGCCCAAATTCAAGCTTCCCTGTACGCCCGAGAAGGGCCCGACTGTATTATTTCTTTGAGTGAATTAGCTTTGAGTAAGTAGTAGGGGGACCGGAAAGTAATGTCGTTTCTGCGCATGTCGACAACAACATGCTAAGGGCAGAAGTGGAAGCAAATTCATGTCAAACGCTCTTAACCAACCTTGGTCGACCATTCAAGAACATTTAAAGCAGAATGGAAAAATAAGCAAAGCAGGTGTTTTGAATCCCACATAATCTGCCCGAACAAGAACAAAGCCCAACCTATCCATCACATGCAACGTATTGCTTCAACGGCATCCCTACAGAACCGGTTTTTTTGATCGTTTGATTAGTGGAGACAAAAAAATATAAGTCCTGTATCTGATAATGCCAAAACTCAAAAGGCAGTTTTAATAGCGGGTTACGAAGAGTTTACATCCCAAAAATGGCGCTTCTTGGTTGTTTGATGGAGTATTCGTGGAATTGTTCATTTTGAATTGCTGAAACCTGGACAAACTGTTAATGCAGATCCTTTATTGTGAACAACTGCATCGAGTGAAACCAATCTTTAATAGAAAAATATCCGGCGATTGTCAACAGAAAAGGCGTCATTCTGTAACACGACAATGCAAGACAACACTGTGCAAGACGGAACACTGGAAAAAATTAATGACTTGAGGATGGGAGGTGCTTGCCTCACCCACCATATTACCCGATATCGTACACCTCAGATTTATATTTATTTCCGATCCTTACAACATTTTCTTTGTGGCAAAAAATTTGAAATAATTTGGGATGATGTCCAAAATGCCATCTCGAGATATTTTACTCAAAACACCAATTGGTTGTATATCAGGTACGGGATCTGAAAATCTGCACACTAGATGGCAAAAGGTTGTTAATAACGAGGGTGATCACATTATTGATTAAAAATGAAAAAGGGGTTAAAAATTTATTCGTGTGAATTTAATGTAAGAAAGCGACATTACTTTCAGGTCCCCCTATTATTTTAACCTTTCTCTGGACTTTGTCGTTACCTACATCAACTCAGCAATAAGTCGCTCTACTGTTCAATCACTTCCTCTCCGTTCAACAGAGAGGAAATAGTAAGGAACATTATAAAGGTCTACAACAAAAATCATGATAGATTTTGAAAAACCTTTTATCAGGGTAAACATATGAACCAAAATCGTTACTTACTTTTGTAAGATTACAAACGATTATGTAAACTGGAATGGAGGAATACGCGCATTAAGCAGATCTTTATGCATATTTTGCAGTTAAAGCTTATTTTTCGCTCATGCTATATGTAGGTTTCTATTATATATGTAACCTATCTCAGTGTCCTAATAGACTGGAAAGCGAGTTATCGCTTTAGTCTGAAGCAACTTACCAAAATGTAAGTAGGTTAAAATAATATTTTATTCAACTCTTGAATGAAGAGAAAGCATTACTTGTGCTACAGGTTAACCTCCGCTTTCTGAGGGTAGTTATATTAACATAATATAAAAATAAATTCAAGCGTAGGTAGCGTTCTGAAACTACAGACGCAATAGTCTACTTAAGCTAGCTCAAGACAATTATAGCGCGTAATTTAAACTAGCAAGGTATTGAAACCAGAATAATTTTGAACTGGCAACAGTACGTAACTGCAAGGCGAGGCTGCCAGGACCTGTCTCCTTAAAACATTCAAACCCTCTGCTTAAGTACCCAATAACTACTTTGCATTAGCTTGAGGACTAAGGAAAGAAGAAATTAAAGTAAAGGGTCAATTCATAATAGCCGGTTAATATCCCTATCCAACATATCTTTAACATCATCATAGGCGTCCTAAATGTAAATCGTTAACAGCTATGTTACGAATGCATTCAGTATTTAATTGTATATCTATTGGAATGTTACTTACGTACTCCATATTTCATCCTCACTCGCAGTTTCATTTTGCTATCAATTCTAAGAGGGTTTTTTTTTCTCTCTCTTTATTAATTTTAAACGCTAAAACCCAAATTTTACTAAAACAGTTATTGATAGCATTTTGAGCAATTTGCAGATTATAACGCATGCACGTTAATTTCTGTATAAGCGACATGGCCGTCTTTATTCGGTCATAAGAATTTTTGTTAATTTAAAAAGTATTTCTCCCGTCTTCTTAGCATACCTTCGTAGTGTAGTGGTCAGCGCACTCGGCGCGCATTCGAGAGGTTCGTGGTTAAAGTCCTGTCGAGGGCATTGCTCATTTTTTCATCTCTCCTGCTTTAAAAAAAACCTAATGACTACAGTTGCGCCCGAACTAAAAATTAGTGAATGATGATTCTTCACCATCAGGATTTGGCGACTGGTTCCCCTAAAACCCCAGTCGCCCTTTAAAAGCGGCAGTATACAGGATATTTCTCTCGCCTTCTTAGCATGCCTTCGTGGTGTAGTGGTCAGCACACTTGGCACGTATTCGAGAGGTCCGTGGTTCGAGTCCTGGCGAGGGCATTGTTCATTTTTCCTCTCCATTTCTAATGAAATAAATATATTCATTTCATTAGGTTTGCTACATTATTCTTTCAAATGTTCGCTTAAACAATGAAAGAAACGTTTTTTTTTAGAGAAAAACACTTGCACACAGTATACAAACTTATCACAGGAATATCATTTTGCGATGTTTTTACACAAGCATCTGTGCCGAAAGAGTAGTTAACTTGACATATTTTGAATGGATTGTTCTCCATTCCCTTTCTATCTTTCCATTCCCTTTTTACTTCTTACATTCACAGAAATCGTAGTAGTCATTATTTAAGTTTCCGTAGTCATAGCTTGAAACGACTGAATCAAAACCAGAGGAGCATTGGATGAAAAGATACTTAATTGAAAATATTTTGAAAGGAAACTTCCGCAATTTTTATTAGCTAAGAAGCAGAGGAAAATTGAATTTACACTAGTAATGGTTGTCCAGAAGTTTCTACTTGCATGTTTATAGTTAACTATCAATGTTCTGGTTTTCTCTTGTTCTGAACTTAGTTTAAGACTATATGTTCAATATCTGGTATTCCGACCAAGAGATGGATAAGCAATTAAACAAGTGCTATGTATCTTTGAGCTCGAATAATAAGTTTTCTTTGCTTAGTATTACAAACTACCATCAAATAAACATCTCAAACGTTACTTGAATTTGAAATGAATATTAAAATTTCTAGGGATAGTTTCGTCGCCGTGATTACCAATTACTGTAATGGCTTCAGAATAATACCTGCTCAATTATCGCTTGTTCAGCGCAGACGAAAAGACACTTTTAATTGAATCGCTGAAACGAAGAATGTCCTGAGTTATTATTTTGATACTTTGCCTGGGCACAAAATAAATCCGCCTTCTGATTTAGGCTGTTTTAGTTCTCATTTAAATATACGTTTTATATTATTTCGAGACTCATTTTATTTCCTGATTATTTGTATACATTATTCGAAAATCTGTAATTCGAAAAAATAACGAATGACTTAACATTCTTGCTGACCTCACTGATACACTTAGGTTCAACTAAGTTAAAAATTTCTTTTTTCAGTATATTCTCTCCTAGTAAACACCATCTAAAATCACTGACATTAAACATCATCCAAGCATCCGTACGATACCTACACAGATAATATTTTTACTTTTCTCCATTTTGACACGTTGGCATCAACTCTAAACTTCAACTTCCTGTACATAAGACTTCAAAACCGAGCTTTACTTTTTCTTTCCCTCTCTTCTTAAGCCAGATTGAAGAAGACGAAGAGGATTCTTCTTCGCGATCCCTGCCTCTAATCTGAACGATCACTCACGCAGAGGTTTAGAGGCTTCGAATTGAGAATCGGCAAGGGAAAAAGTTAGGCACTAATGAGTCACGTTCCTTGCAATAACTTCGTTTCCTCAAAAAATTTGGTGAGAGGCTATGAAGTGAACTTTCCCCATTACTTGAGAAATCTCCTCTGCTTTTTTGAATTGGCAACGAACTCAGGGATATATCTGTCAGCTAACTTAACTTTTTTTACCTGCCTTACTCAAGAAAAAAAATGTTTTATTTGATCCTTTAAAGGAATTTTGCGGAATAAAGTTGAAAATGAAATTTATCTGAATTTCGTATATCTCACATGATTTGAGTTATCCGGAGTTTTTCCTTCATTTAAATATCAGGGGAATGTCTCTAATAGAGAGACAAACGGCAAATTTGAAATTTCATAATAGATATAATTCGAACCAAAACAGCTTTTGTAATTAATAGTTAGAGTCACATAAATTTTTATTTCCCTTTTGCGCGTATAATTTAAAAGAGATGAATTAAAAAAATCTGATGTACACACCACGTGATTTCCTTGTACGGCCACATTTTTATTACATTTCATTTAAACGTATTTCCTCGAATTTTATTAGAAATATACTTCTCATTCAATTATTTCAGTTCTCACTTTGCGGCAAGGCAAAACCATCTAAAAACTCAAAACAGTTTCATAAAAAATTGTAAAATAGCATAAAACAGCAAATACACTTAAGAGTAGTGAAAATTGCTAATTAAAATTAGATTTTCTACGCAAAAATAGGCAATTCAGCCAGCGGGTAAGAAGACAGATTTTTCGGTGCACAAAATTGAAAGTTTAACTTTTGGTCCCATTCGGCAAAAAGACACTGAAGTTGGTGCACAAACTGATTTAATTCACTATTCTCCTAAGAGTTTCAAATGCAAATAAATGGAGACTTCGTTAGGCTTAGCACCACTTAAACCACTTTTGAACTGTGTATAATTCTACAACTATTTCATGCAGATTAGTTAAAGGCATATAAACCTTTGAAACATAACTAAATGTATCTTTATATATTTTAGTTAATAAATTCTAGTCAACTCGCAACTAGTGTGAGTGCTTCCTTTATAATTTTCTTTCCGAATTTTCATTTTACTTTCGGAATCCCGGGGTTTGGCTCCCGGAACCGTAACAACAGCAAATTAATGAATCAGTCTCATTTAATATACTGTGGTATATGTCATGTTGGTACTACCTTACAGGTAACTGTACTTTTTAAATTTTTCGAAATCGGTGAGCATTCTTACTTAAAATCAGGCTCATGTTTCTCATTAGTATTTTATGATGGCCTAAATGTATTGTTATTTGGTGATATATTTCAGGTTTTTACGAAATAATTTCCACAATAATGATAAATTTCTGGGATTGCCTTCAGACAGGTTCTAGTTTCACCAATAATTCTATGTTTCAATATTTTGTACCATTTTCGTTTAATATAAAAAATCTCTGAAATCCAGTTTTGTAAATATATTTACCTTCGAATCACTATATGATGTTTAGTATTATAAATCGAATAACCAAAAACCCCTTAAAATTACTTTTATTATCTACATTATATAACCTCGATTGCTATGTTTCATATTTAATGGATATAATTCATGCTTAGTTCTATCGGATTATTTTGTATACGTCTAAAAATATATTTGACAACGTTTCTTTAAGTATTAATGCTTGACTTTATCTTATAATGCTCATAATTTTGCAGAGATAATGATGGCTGACGTTTTAATTTTTTAATGAAATTTTAATACTTTTACAGATGGCATCGTCCTGTTGGACTAGCTGGGTGATTGCAGTTACTGCATTGATCTGCTACGCAAACAGTCTCACTTGTGGTTTAGTATTCGATGACAAACCAGCCATAAAGGACAATATGGATCTGAGGCCCGATGTACCTATCAAACATTCTTTACAATGATTTTTGGGGAACACCTATGAATAGGGTAAGAATTTTCTTTTATTTTATGTATGAGAAATACGTTTAGTTTCTGCTAATTTGAACAGAACTAGGAACTAGCCATAAAACTTTTATATTATTAAATAAAACATAATTTTTAAAGTAAATGCGAATTCCTTTGAAATATAATAATGCTTCTTCACATTTGGTTTTACTCTGTGCAATCAGTTTACATTTACGTACCGCATTTCGGAATGATTGCACTGATCAGGTCGATAGATCCAGTGTGATGACACTTTTCAATAAAAATATTTGAATGTGAACTTTTTATACAGTAAACCCTTGCTGAACGAGCCCTTGCCGAAGTTATTAATATACTGCGTGATGTAAATTCGCGTCCGGAAAGTTAACTTTCTATGGAAAAAGTGGGTCGGGTGTAATTCAGATTGAGAAGTGTATAATATAAACAAACCTCAATGTTGTTGGAATTATAAGAAAGACAAATTTAATTGAAAGGATTCTCATTACTGTTTAATGCATCTATGATACAATTATTTTTCAAACATGGTAGGGAGTTTTGCTTGGGACAATCATTGACATAACTCTTAAAACGTTTCGAGGTAAAAAACGCAGATTTTTTCGAAATTTCTCATAAGGTGTTCCCTTCTTTCTTCATTTGAATCAGTCTCAAATGTAACTTGACACAATTCCTGTGCCTTTTGTAACAATTCGTTTAACTTCTTGTAAATCAAAGGCACTTTATCTTTTTTTTTTTTTTTCATAACAACTGTTTTGACTATCGGCTGGTGTTATAAAATTATTTAGGTTTCATTTGTCGTTTTTCGATCAATTCTTTGTTTCTCCTCTTTTCTTATCTGAAAATCCCTCGTGGCCACTTGCTTTGTCAGGTTGCACGATTTCTTTGAGTTTACTATCAATCGATGGAAATCATTTAAAACTGTTGATATCTTGGAATAGCTGAAACCGTCATGCATTCAGTTCTGATGAATGAACGTTGAGCTGCGTATGAATTAAATTCTACCGTTGTACAAATTAAATGGAAAGAATTATGAAAACCCGTATATATAAAAAACCCGATATATGTATATATAGCATATATCGCTGTCTACAGACCTGCGTTCGACAAGAGTTTATAAGGTATTTCTCCCGCCTTTCCAGATTCGAGTACCGGCGAAGGCGTTGCTCATTTTTCCTCTCTTCGGCTTTAAAATAACCTAATGTCTCTACAAGTTTACTCTATTAGCTTTCTCGGGTATCCAGATTCTGCTCTCAACTCAATTCAACTCTATTAGCTTTCTAGGAAGAAACTTTCAATTAATAATTGTATTTATTATTCTACAACAGATCTTTTAGGAAAATTCTAATCCTCTGTGATAAACAATTAGTTCCTTAGAAAAACTGTCAACAGTGTGTGAACTAAACCAGTTTTATTCGATGAAGCAAATGCTCAAAATGCCGTTTTAAGAGATCGTATAGAATTCAAGTTTATTAAATAAAAAACTGAATTTTCTCACTTACACAAAGGGTATATTCACCCACACTTCTTTACTAATTTTGTCTTGGCATAAAGCTGGTTTTTAGGAACTGGCATTAGGAAACTGTACTTAGTAATATTTGTGTACAGGTTTGAAAACGTTTAAATAAGTACAGTTATGATACTTATGTCAAATCTGTATAAAAATATCTTAGACTTATGCGCATCTACGTATATATCCGAGCTATTGTAGACGCAACGTTGCCGGTTCCTTAAATTATCCCTAGGGCACATGACATAGTGAAATCTGGACATGGATAACATCTCAGAAGAGAAAGCGGAGGAGAGAAAAAGGGAGAGGGGTACCAAAGAGAAAAAGGTCAAAGGTACCTGGCAGGTGAACGGAACTTGACAAGAATGAAGAAAAATCCTAAAGGATCCAATGACAATTCAGTGAAATGACAATTGCAATACATGATTCAAAATACTATACAACAACAGCAAAAGTTCAACACTACTAAGAAACTACACAAATACAACAAAAAAAACAACACAACAACAGTCAGTACAACATCACAGCACAGTCTACAGCAGATAAATTGAAAGTAATTACAGCCACCAACAAAATATCTTAGGCGGGTGGTTTGCTTTATATATCAATTTCAACAGTTAAGTGGGGTTAGAAGCTAAGCAAATGTCATGTATTGGACTAAATAAAAATGAAAAATATAAAAAATAAATAATGAGCGTCTTGCAAACTTTGGGAGAAACCAAACTGGAATAACTAATAATAAGTAGTACTACTATTAATAATAAGTAAGAAGATTTTTCTAAATAAGGGATTCAGATTCAGTGGCTGAGGAAGTGTGGTCTTTTTAAGTTTCATTTGATTGTTATGAGACGCAGTTTTAGCAAGGCCATTCTTGTGCCGTAAGTCTGGCAGTGTCAATTCATACTACGTTTGCAGTCTATGTTAATGCTGTTGTTATTTCAATAAAGGATTTGCAGACAGTATGTTACGGAAGATTAGTTATTCATTGATTTAAGAGTTGGCATTTTTTATTACATCCAACTTCATTTTTATACTTTTGTTGTTTCTGGAGTCTTTAATAAAGATTGATGCATTTTGAAGTATCTTGTTGCTTTTTATAACGAGTGAATTAAAATTCCTTTTTTTTTATTAATTTTTTTAATCTGCGCAAATTACTGCTAAACGCAAGTAGCATGCATGTCTGTAATTAGTGATGATTTTACTCATTCAGCTATGAATTAAAAACAATCATTAAAATGAACTCCTAGAATTTTTGCTTATCTCAGATTTCCTTCTTCTAAACATTCTAGTTTCATAAACATTGTTATTTTTTAAATATTTCTAAACTGAATTAGGATGCTTGTTTCTGTATTGTTACATTTAATATTAGGAGTTACATTTAATATTATGCAGAATTACATGGCATGGTGATTATTTTGATAGAGAAACATATTTAATTTTATTTAATATTTTATTAAATATTAAAAGAGAATCTGTGGAACATTATTAGGAAAATCTCAAACATTGAAAAATTATAGCTTTAAATAAACTGTTGAGGATTCAATAGAAAAATTTTAATTTTAGTCAACAAACATATATTTACATTTAGTGCTTTACTTATTAATTACACGATCTTTATTAAAGCTGATGCTACAAACGTACGAACAACTCTTATCCAAACAAATTAGTAAAAAATTAACTTCAGGGTTATAATTAAAGAATAAAATGCATTTAAAACTGCTTGCTTTTGTGTTTCATTTATTTACTTAAATTTTTAATTAATGATTTTATTTAAAATTTAATTTTTAATTCCTTGTGGCTTGATTAATTACGATTTGAGCAGCTGAAATATTTACTACACATCTATTTCTAGTATTATTTTTATCAATTTTTGTCTGTATTCCACTATTTTAATTTTTAATTTAAGCCTCCGTTAATTATTTTTGAAGCGGATAGAGAAATATTTTTATCTTTTAGGTTTTTAATGTTGCTTTAAATAAGAAACCTTTATTATGTTACTTCATTATCTTTCATTAACGACGCAGTTTCTTTTCAAACTTGAAATTTTATCAAAGACTATTTATATAGTATGCGAATATGTTTTTCATCATTATGGCAAAAACGTGATAGGTAGCTGTTAAAGTTCCCTTTAATTTTCCTCAGCTTTTCTTTGTGTTATTATTTGCATTTTTATATCTACCTATTACGAAAGTTTTTTTTTTTTTTTTTTTTTTTTTTTTTTTTTTTTTTTTATCCAGTAATTCATTTCTTCAAACTAATCCAACACCTTATTTTTAAAATGATTATTGGTAATTTTGTCCCCATCGAAGCTGCATCTGCTTTAACAATGTTCCCTTAACGCTTTTACGAAAGGCATAGGTCAATCTTTTTTTTTTTTTTCTTTTTTTTTTTTTTCCCCTCTAACTGAAAGAAATGTAAATAGAATATGCATTCTTATAGGGTAGAAGGGGAGTAAAAAGAGAAATTAATGATCATAATTTTGTTTGTACAGTGATTTATGAAATGCATGATTTCAATACTGAAACAGCACGCAGACTTACGGTAGTTTTGTACTTAATGTACTATCTCCACACGCACTTTTTCTACAGCTTCCACTACGCGTATCTTTTTATGTCAGAATGATTATGAATTATCATGTCTATAAGGGAATTTATAATTATAGCAATTTTTACTTTTAGTTTTATTTTAGGTTTTGAGTGTTATTTTTCTTTGCTATGCTTCACTTTGGACTTAGTACTTATTTTATTATGAAAATATACATCTTATCAGCTCACAAAAAAGATTTCACTGTAAATTTTAGAAGGAATTTTGTGCTTCCTTACCGGGGGCCTCTGTAGTGTAATTTGAAAGCACGTCCAACTAGCACCTGGAAGGTCCGGTTTTCGAATCCCAGTGCATGCATCACTGATTTTCCATATTTCCTGCCTCCGAAAAAATCTAGCTACAGCGCCACCCGAACTACAATGGGATAGACGATAATTCGCGTCACTACCGGGGTTTGTCGACTGGCTCCCCGCCTGTCTAATTGCCCTTTAAACGGAGGATAACGTTAGGTATTATCTCCATTCGCAAGCCATGGCTACTTTTTGTAGTTAAAACATATCCGGCTAGTGTCGAAAGGTCAGGAGTTCGAATTATGGAGAGAGCATTTCATGTTCGTGATATTTCCTGTTTCGACAAACTTAATGACTCTATACAAGTCGCCTTCGTTGAGGTGAGGTGAAAGGGGAAGAACTAAAATTTACTACCCACTTCAGAGTAGAGCTGGAAAAAACCTGTCTTTTATGGGATCAGATCAAAACTCTTCGCTTATTGAACTGAATCATTTTTATGGCACATTTCTCGCTAATAATTACACTGATGAATAAGATCGGGAACGGAGAGTGAATCAAGAGCTGTGAGTGTCGATGGGGCGAAAATTGGAAAAAATCACACGTACTGTAGGATAAGATGGATCCGCTTAATCGAACCGCTATTTCCCGAACTAATTTCTTTCAGC